TGAACTTGGAATATTTCTCTGCCAAACACATCCTTTGAGGAAATAAGCAGGGATCCCGTCTGGTCCACAACTCAAGTTTTCTTTTAATGAAGTCAACCCCTCGAATACTTCCTCATTACTGAATGTTATGAATGGAATATAAACAGCTGATGACACTGATTCGCTCGTGATATCATCCAAATCCAATCCATCTCTAACATTACCCCTTGAAAAATTTTCGGCAAAAAGATTTATAATATTTTTCCCTGTATCAGCTATTTAGTCATCAATATCTAGTTTATTGAAAGCAGATAGGTACCTATTTTCTTTGAAATTTTTCATTGCGCATGCGAATAAACGCTGACCACCAATTTTTTTGATTTCTCTCGCTTCTGAAGCCGATCAGTCTCACTTCACTTTGATTAATGTTACTGCTAGTTAATTTGCATTTCCCAAGGGAATTGTGAATTGATCTGATGTGCATTGTTATAACATCAGTGTAGATTTTTAAAAGTATATTTTTTGTATAATGATGTTTGATTTTGAAAGGTTATGAAACGACCAAATGTTGTTCGGCGATGTGTCTGAATTAATTTTTAAAATTTTCAACACTATCATATCGAAAACTGGTATACATTTGTTAGACGATTTCGAGCCCACTTTTTGGAGGCTGTGAAAATTGTTTCATTCTTTTAATACTGAAAATTGTAATTTGCTGGAAAAAGTCATCTTCGTGCATAGTTTCTTGATAGATTCTTATCAACCATATTTTGTTCCAAATTGAAAAGTATTGATGAATGTAAAAATGTATTTTAATTTGAGAAATATAGATTCTTCGATCAGAAAAGTATGCCGGCATAGAAGAATGCGAAATTATTCAATCACCTTTCTAATGATGGTAAAACATTTATGAGAATCACTCACTTAACATTTCAAAATTTATAATAAGGAAAGAGAGACAAGGAAACACAATGAACTTTTTATAATATTTCCATTTATAATATAACAAACAATACTATACTCAGTAATAAGAATTTAATGACCATCACTGTTTCATTTAGATATATATATAAGTAATGCCTTGTTGGTTGGCGAAAAGCACGTCGAAAGACAGTATTCTAGTTCTGGTGTGTGAAAAACGCGTGTTCGTTGAATGGCTAAACAAAAACAACCAACTGACTCATAGATTACATAAGAAACACGAAGACAAAAATGCTAACAACCCCATCTGAAGTGCTTTCTCAGAGCTTGTTTTAACCTGAATGACAGAATACACCATACTCAGGCCAAACACGGTCCCCGGCCCTAAATGAATCAGTGGAAAAATGTTAAAATGTGTTTTTCCGTAAACCAGCTGTCGCCCCCTCATGGTCAGCAAACGCAAACGTGCGATAATTAGCAAGGATCTCGATCAAAAACCTTCCTGACATTATCGATTTCTTTAAAACAAATCTGCATCGGATTGATAGCCGCATATCTACGTAATCGAAGGGCGAGGTTGAAGTCCAAAACCAAAAATCCAAAATCAGGAGTCACCCAGGGCTTTATTCTTGCTATGATCCTCTTTTTCATCCGTGTACATGACATTCTCTGTAGATACCTCCTTTATGGATGATGATGAGAATGAACTCCACTAAAACACAAACAAAATAAAACGTTTCAAACATCCACGTATTGGAAAAATCGATGTCTTCACCCCGATAACCTCACTTAACTTTCTTTCAACAAAAACTACCCCAGGACAGCATGAGGTATCTTAAACATTAGTTGGACTGAAAAATGTATACTAAATTCTGAACAAAGTACCTATGAAGGAATATGTACCGTAGAATTCGTCCTCAGGCTATCATCTTCATGTGAACTACAACAGTTTCTAACTTCTGGAGCATGTGGTGGGTTATACTCAGTAACTTCTTGACGTAAAACTAACCCACTGCATTTTGTAGTTTGGATGTAAAAATGCATTATGTAAAGTAAGATAATATGCGTTGTTTAATAGTCTGTTATATCGTGATTAGGACGATCTCACCGGTATCAGATTACCAAGATAACGACTTCCAAGACTTTGAGTTAGCAGAGTCAGCAGAACGTGATACTTTTGTTATTTTCCATCGTCTCCTGGTGATACCGCTGTCTACACATTATAAATGGAGCCTGCGAGGTCAAATCATTATCAGAACTAATTTAGAATTCGTTTAGTATCAACTTAGATTCTGTTCTATTTTTTCATTGTAGTTTCCGTAACGATATTTTTGTTGTTATTCAAAGAAAGTATGTAATTGAAAATAAAGTGTTTTTCAAAAAAGTCATATTCAAAAGAGTGAATATAACAATTGGCGCAGTCGTTGTAGGATCTGACAACGTTGCTAGAACAAGAAAACCCTAACTAGTAGCGGCGGATTCTAATCCCTCAACAGAGAAAGAACCAACAACACCTGAGGAGTCATCACTCGAGGAAGCAGCGGAAGGAACACCTGGTGAAGCCCCTGGCTGGACGACTTCGAGAACACGACGAATCGAAATGAAGATTGTAATACTGTAAGTCGATATTGAATTGTCTCGATTTATTTGGCAATCTATTTACCATCACTTCAATTCTTTTCAAAATCAATAATCATACTGATTGATTATTGTACATAGTAAATAAGTACTGTTCGATCATTCAAATTTTGACACCAAAAATTTGTTAAGATAAATCAGCCTCAAAACTAAGCAGAACCAGAAGCAATCGAACCATACAAGTTATCGGAAATATTTTCAATAGTGCCTGAATTCGAAGGTGATCAAATATTTTTGAACACTTTCTTAAATGAATTACCGTTGCCTCTTTGAACTGGTACGGGAAGTGTCGCAGTCTGAGTATAGCATTTATGATGTTGGTTATGGCTGCTATACCCTTTCGTGGCAGCACTTTCAGTGCTCGATTTGTTATATTGTCTGGGCCTGGTGCTTTCCGAGTGATAAGGCGTCTCAGAATGTCCTTTACTTCCTCAGGCGATGTCGGGGCCAGGGGTTGCGCATTATCTGTCCGTCGATTAAGCCTCCGTACTGTTCTTTCCACCTGGTTTTCTATTTCTTCTACCTCGTCTGTGAACGGGATGTCATTCTCTTTGCACTGCCTTTCGAAGTTGTCCGCGAATGCTTCCGCCTTCTCATGGTCCGTGTAGACAATTCCTTGCTCGCCATGTATTGGTGGGCAGGGTTGTCGAGGTCCGTTTCTGAGTTTTTTCTGCATTTGCCATGCAGATCTATTTTCTGTACTCAGTTTTTCCAGACGGGTGGTCCACTGTCTTTCCACTGGCTTTCAGCTCTTCTTTCAGTATCCTGTTTGCTCTCTGCATGCACCTTTTGTCCATCGGTGCACGTGTTCTTTGGCACTGTTTTTTCAGGTGTCTTCTTATTCTGATTAGTTCCATCGTTTCTGGTGGAAGGTGCTCTTGGAAGTTATAGCGCGTGGCTGGGACTTCCCTCGCGCTTCTTTCCGTTGTTTGTATGATCGCCTGCTGAAGCTGGTCCGTGGCGTTCTCCAGATCTGTTGTTGTCTCGATACGTGGTATCTCACCCAGCGCGTCGTGTATGGCTCGCTGGAATCTTGCCCAGTCTGTGATTCGCTTTGTTGGGTTGTCTGTTTCCACTTCTCCCCTTCCTATTGTGAATAGGATGGGGTTGTGGTCTGACGAACCTTCATCTAGTACTTCCATCACCGTAGTATCGACGTTCTGCACTAGCGCGATGTCAAGAGTGCTTGGGACTGCGTTTGCTTGCGGGTAGAACGTTGGGCAGTTTGATGCTACCACCTCGATGTCCTCAAATTCTTCTAGTAATCTTACTATATCTCTGCCTCTTGTGTTTGCAAATCTGCAGTTCCAGTCTGGCTACTTTGCGTTGAAGTCGCCGATGGCCACTGTGGGATGGTGATCTGGGAATAATTCTGCCATGTCGGTTTTTTCTATTCTTCTACCTTGCGGAGGTAGGTATACCGATGATATTTTCAGCTGTTCGTAGCGTCTCACATTGACTTTGACCGCTACTGCTTCTCCGATTTGGATTTCTGGTTTTCTTTCTTCGTTTTGCTCTAGATCTGTTTTTACTAGTAGCGCAACGCCTCCCGCGGCGTTGCGCCCCCTGGCCTGTCTGCCCTGTACATATTATATCCTGGGATTCGGTAGCTCTTTTCGCTCCTTAATCTTGTCTCCTGCAGTGCCATAACGTCTATGTCTAGACGCGATAGCAGTTCCAGTAGCTCGTTCCGTTTTTCTATGGACCCGTTTATGTTCCATGATCCTACTAGTAGTCTGTCCGGGACTCGTGTGGGCATTACTGTCGTCCGGGTGCTTGTATTAAGGCGGCTAAGACCGCTTGCGCAATCTTTTGCTGCTCAGTCGTTAGTTTCCCTAAGATTTGGACCAGCTCGTTTCCTCCGGCTTGTTGTGCCTTCGGTGCTGGTTTCCTTTGAGCTGTATGCTACCGGGGCCTCTGACTCTCCGCTTGTCGAGGCCTGTTTCCTGCTGGTTGTGAGGGTCTGAGTTTGGGGAACATCCTACATTCCCTGTAACTTACCGGGTGCGCACCCAGGCAGTTTGCTCATTTGGCCCGAAGTACTGGCATCGGTGGCACTGCCTTATTTCTCTTTTGTTTATTCTTTGAGGCTCCGCCCGCACGATCAGGTTTACGCACGTTCTTAGTGCGTAAATTTTTTCCTGGTTTTTAGGCACTTTGTCCAGGAGTAGCGGCAGTATTTGCCTTGTTTTTCTGGACGTCATTCAATGACATTCCAGAACCTCGAAGCCTTGTTTGGTTAGATCTGACGCAACGTCCGCTTCCTCCACGTTCTCCGGTATCCCCTGGATGACTGCGCGGAGTGGGATTTCTTTTTTTAATGTGTAGGTGTGAAATTCCAGGCGGAATTCCTCCATGTATCTTGTGGCTTTGCGCCACTCTTCCTCGTTGTTTGTGTGGATGTATATACCATCCCTGGTAAGCCTCGCTTTGTTGTACCCGATTTTTCGGGCTTCGAGGCCTTAGGATATCTCGTTCCACCGTTTGCTGTCGTGGACAACTATCGGTGGTGGTGTCATGGGACTTGTCTGTATCTCGTTCGGATTCGTATCCGAACTTGTTGGTACTACTTGTTCGTTTGGCCTGGGGGTTGGCCATACTGAGACCTCCGGGGTTTTTCTCCTGTCGGTTGGCACGCTCGTTTTTGGTGTCGGCGTTGCTTCCGCTTCCATTACTATGGACGTCGTTTCCGCGTCCATTTCTGTATCTTCTTGGGTTTCGGCTTCGGTTTTCCTTCTTGCCTTACGGCTTTTTTTAGATTCCACTCTCTGGAATCCGTCTTCATCTGAGTCCGTTTCTGAACTCACCTCCGCGTCTCTTGGACGCTTGGCTGTTCGTGGATCCTCTTTTGTTGTTTTTGTTGTTTTGTGGACTTTTTCAGTTTTGTTTACCTTTTTTTTTTGTCCTCGTTGTCCTTGTTCTTCTGTGCTTCCTTTTTCTCTTCCTTATTTTTCACTTCCTCCTTGTCGGGTGTGTTTTTATTCTGGTCCTTGCTGTTTTCCTTTGTCTTCTTCTGCTGCTCCTCCTTGTCCTTCAGGAGTTCGTCAATCCTGCCTTTCATGCTGACGATTGTCTCCTTCATGGCGATAATATCCTCCTCATATTTTTTATTGATTTCCCATAGCTGCTTGTTCTCTTCTTTTATCTCGTGGATGGTTTCCTCTAGTTTCCCGTACTCCATTTTTCAATGGGCTGGGTCCTAAGAGTCTGAAAATCGAACTGTAATGTCCTGAACTAAGAATGCAAAACCCTGCTTATTTATTCATTCGTGGACGAGCTCCAATCGGCCAATCACAACGCTCAAAAAATCACATCCATTTCAGTCGACCAGAAAATCGATAATCACGCCATTCCTTCCAGCCAATCAGAAGTCGGCTAGCCGGTGGTGTGATTTTGCCCTGGGGCGAAACCGTTGCAAACAAAGACATGATTAACGGAAATTTGCGATTTCTCAACTTTTTCCCAGAAAAATTTCAACTTCATATTCGGATAGTATTCATCAATCCGAACCGAAAAGTCTAATGAAATTTTTCGATATCTCTATTCCTTCTGGCTGTAAAATGCATTTGAAAGTACAAATTTGGACGATTTGGTCCGAGCTGTTGGCGAAATTCCTCCGATGATTATAATTTCAAATCCGACCAGTCACACTACAGAAATCGTTCTGGTATCAATCGAAAGCTAGTTAAAAGTTCTATCGATGTCTCTTAGAAGAAAACATGATTTTCCTATCTAACTAAGTGAAAACGGCATTTTCCTGAAAATGACCGGTTCCCCTATATAAAATAAACAAATGTTATTAATCTTGCAAAAGATTTTCTAACACTTAGGAGATGATATTACAATGCTGAGTATCCATACTAAGCTGAAAATATAAAAAAATATCCGATTTTCCAATTTTCCTCAGAGTGTGCGAAGCTCGCACTGAGGCTCGGGAAACAAAGCAAACAGTTTTGTTTCACAACACTAAGAGCCATGCAGACGGTAACTTAACAACCAGCAGGGTTTCCCATGCCGAACGGGTCGAGGGGGAGAGCCGGACTAAGAAGGGCACCAATCATCCAAGTCAAGGTGGAAGGTAACGTACCAATGGCTGAATGGCCGCAGGGTGTAATATACGCTCACGTTTCCCTGGGATTACAGGGCGGAACCCCCTTGTATATATGCCTCACTTAGTCGAGCGGGGCTCTGAGAGGGTGTACTTTTAGTTCCCTAGCTACTCATGACATCATTATGGATAGTAAGGAAACAAAAACAGAAAAAGAACAAAAGAAACAAGGGGTCACGGAGAGGCGAAGGCGAATAAAGCCCACTCCCAAAAATGACAAAAAAAGTGAGGCATCGCGAGGTCAAGTAGACCAATAACTTTCTGGTCAATCCCGTAGAGGAGATTGATCTTATCCCTGACTACGAGGTGCAAAATTCCCGTATGTCAGGTAGGTCCCGTGCAAGAGCGACACTCCTTGTAGATGGCGGGCAAAACGGGCCATCATCAAGTAGAACCAAGCTTTCCCCAAGCAGTAAAGGAAAGATCGTCGTTAAGTCAGGCCTAACGCCAGCCTATAAACGGTCAAGATCTGTAGGCAGCATGCCATAAGCGGAAACTCATCTTCATCACCCAAACTAACTATATCATACAATTTGGATGAAAATGAATAATATATGTTTCGTATTGAATTTCTCTATCCAACTTAGGTATTATTTATTCCAGAAGCATCCGTTTATATGAAATTACCAACACTATACTGAAACCAATAATGATTGAGAGTAGAAGCAAGCCCAGTTGACAGCAAATCGGGGGCGTGCTTATTAATTTTTGAGAGGGTTAAGAATGAAAGAAAAATTCTTAGTACAATTAGTTAAAATATTCATACACATTTTTTATTTATTTCATTAAAACTTTGCAATATCGTAATTTACCTAATCGTTGTAGTCATTAGGTGGGCCTTATGAAAACGGAGTAATAATCGTGGTAATTATAGTAGGTACCAAATAAATTAACAATATTAATAAAAANTGTTATTCGGGGGTACACACGTAGAATTACAGCACATATGCACAAAGTCATCTTTTGGTGGCTGATGATCTCTTTCAAGACAGTGTAATACTCGCAGTACAATTTGTTTTTCTCTTACTGTCCGAGACTCCGACCTTTTTCGACGTGGAAGGCCCGACCATGTCTCCCATTTTTTGAGTAGTTTGAGAACGGTGTACAAATATAATTATGTAACGCTTAAACACTTATTAGCACTATTATTTTCACCAATTGTTATCACAACACGTCGATTGCTGACTAACTTAAGTGTAAAACGTACAATTCACGCTGTATAATTCACAAACCAATGATACGCTCAATGCTGCAAGTACATTAGTGAGGACTGCAACGATGAGATGGAAGTTACGATAAAGTGACAAAGACAGAAATATCGTTGCGTACAGCGTTGCCATTAGTTGTAATAAATATCTAACACTATACAGAAAATAATGAATTTTAACTGATCAGTTATCAGGAAATGTATAAGTATTACTCATCACAAGCTCATTACTGATTTTTGTCATAAATAATACCTTTTTATCGTACTAGTATTGTGTATTATCTATAATTTGCCACAACCTATACAACTCTACTGCTTACTATATTTTGATTCTGCTATAAACTGGTAACGTAAAATTTAGATATGACAACGCGCTTTACTCTCAATCATTATTGGTTTTACTATATGTTGCTGTATCGCTGCTGTTTCAATGTTTTGACAGAATCAGAATCAACGAACTTAGGCGTGCGCAGCGTTATAGAACAGTGCTTTAAAAAATTGTTCTACAGCGCCATCTAGTGGTGAGTTACAGAAAAATTGATAGCCTAGAAACCTTCTCTATGAAAAATTACTCATACATGTCAAGTTCTATCACGATCGGTTGAGCGATGTAGAAGTTTATCACTTACCAACCAACCAACAAACATCCATTTTTATATATTAGATAATGTGTTTCAAACTTAACAGTTGCCGTTATGAAACTCAATCTGGAGTATTGTTGATATTTTTTCACTTTTGAATTGAATAAACCCACTCCCTAGTGTATTTTACATTTAAACATTATTCAGTAGTTCTGAATAAAAT